GGGCGGGGCCAGGCGGCAGGTGGGCGGCTGGGGCGGGGCCAGGCCTCAGCCCTCCGTGACAGGGCTCCAGCCCACGCGCCTGAACCGTGTCTGGCGCCATGTGGGGGTCCCAACCCCCAGGGCGCGGGCCGTCTCTGGGGTTGGGGACGGCCTCATGGCAGACACGTCTGCGGCCCCTTGCCGGCCTCTTTCGGCCTTGTCACAAAATGACAACTACAAGGGGAAAGTGAACCTTAAGAAACCAGAGGGTGGCCGCGCACCCAGGCTGGACGGCCGAGAGGACACCCGCCCTCTGCGGCTGTCCTCTCGGGCCTCGGGCCGCAGCCCTGACAGCGCGCGGCCTGGCCTGGGCGCTGGGCTGGGGGCCTCCGGCGGGCGCGCCTGGCCTACCTGGGGATGTTCTCGTCCACCGTGGCGCAGCCATACAGGAAGACGATGATGCCGACCAGGGAGGCGGGGATGAGCATCTGGGTGTACACACCCAGCCAGGCGAAGTACAGGCCGATCTGCTCCCCAAAATACTTCCTGGCCAGGGGGCAAGGCAGAGGCAGCTCAGGCTGCTGTGGACAGGGCACCCCTCTTTCCCAGCAGCGCGGGGCACAGTACGGGCGCAGCAGGAGGGTGGGGCTAGAACGGGAGTCAGGTTTGGGGGTGCTGTCTGCTGTCCCCGTTCCCTCTTCTGGCCCCAGGGCGTGGGAACAGTCCTGAGCCAGCCACCGGGCAGGGAGGGGCGGGCTCAGGGCCGGGGGGCTCCAGGTGCCCGCCCCTCGAGCACCAGCGTCCTCCGGGGCACGTGCCCCCCCCCGGGGTTGAGCACCTCCAGTCCCCTCCTGCACACTCAGCTCCCGCTGCTCCCCCCGCACCCACCCTCCACGGCAGTGAGGGGTTCCTCTCAGCACGGCCAGCGAGCACCCGCACCCGGCTCAGGCCCTGGGGTCGGGCCGTCAGGTGGTGGTGATCACAGCAAGCACGGCCCCCGTGGATCAGAGCAGACGCTGGTGTCCCGGGGACCCCGGGTGCCACCGGCCCCAGCCCTTCAGGCTCAAACAGGTCCCCGGTACTGAGTGTTCAGTGTGGGAAGGCCCGGGGTCCCCGACCAGCAGGCGTGGGGGTGCCCTCCGCCGCGGGCCCCGCCCTTACCTGACCAGGTCGATGGGCTGGTACTTGTAGAACACCCTGTAACTCGCCCACTCTTCGTACAGGAGCTGCGGGGGCACGGGGGGGCGGTGAGGGGGCGCCCGGGTGTGCCCAGCATGCGAGCGGCACCCGCTGCGGCACTTCGCCCCGGCTACGCCGCCCGCTGGACCAACAAACACTCAGCCCGC